TTGTGTTTTTGTGTGTTGAGGCATACGGCTTTAGGCAGCCCACTGAAAATCAATGTGCTGCAACACAGCTCAAAAAATAGACACCCAACACTGTGAAGTTGCATTTGGATGCCATGCACAATGAATTGCAAGGCAGTGTACTAACACACGTAACATGGTGTGACTAGTGTGAAAATGTTTTGGTAAACCTTTCACTACGTGCATTTAGATGTGCGCAACAAATGGAAAAATTTATCCGATACCGAACGTTAACAATGCCGTTAGCAGTGCTGTAGGACATGGAATTTTTTTTTTTTGGTAGGGGGTTAAACTAGTCTTTGCTTCACTCAATTGAATATACAATACTTGTTTTAATAACTTTTGTTGAACTTCATGGCACAGTTTGCGCAAATATATTTTCTTTACAAACCATGGAGCCTTCCAAAAACAGGCATCTTTATTTTGACATCACATGAGACTAATTGCTACATGAAGTTACCTCAGAAGGGAATAGGCTACACCAGTATTTTAGGGGTTTCACAGCCAAAAGGGATGAATTTCTGCAAAGGGACAGTAAACTCAGGAGTTCAACCTTAAAAATACATACAACAAAAAGGGAGGAAAGGAAGCGCCACAAAACAGGGAAAGAAATGGTAAGTAATCAGTAGAGGAAACCTAATTGATCGTTGGAGAGATCCGGCTGGCTCGACGGTGATGTGGAAACGATCGAGTGCGGTCCTTCATGGTTTGGGTGGTGGGGGGTCGGCGGAAACAAAACCCAAACCAGGAAAGACAGCACCCGATCGTTTCCACATCACCGCCAAGCCAGCCGGATCTCTCCAACGATCAAATTAGGTTTCCTCTACTGATTACTTACCATTAATTTCCCTGGTCGTGGAGCTTCCTTCCCTCCCTCCCTTTTTGTTTCATGCTTACACAGGTCGGACACCCTGGTCCGTATCATTAGGAAGCCGCACACCGCCTCCACCCCCCTGCCCATACATAGAATTGTGCGTGTGTGAACACCCTCTTCAGAGCGCTGGAGTTCGGGACAGTTCCAACAATTTTTTCACTTAAAAATACATTTAAGTACCCTATTAACAAAAATGTATCTTATTTGTGCATCACTCAGTTGTAGAGCATCAAATCTCTGAATTTATGCTGCCGTTATCCTTCCTTCTGCAGGGTGGCTACTTTTGTTCCCCATGGTACCTGTGTGTGGTAAAGCAGCCACTACTCCAAACTCACTCCCATGATAGACCAATTTCAACAGAAAAAGTAAACACTAGATTGTAGTCCACCACAGGGGTAAGCTACTTTACAACACACAGGGACCATGAGAACAAAAGTAACCATTTGTCAGTACAAATTCAGAGATGATGTGAGGCTCTACAACTGAGTGATACACAAATAGGATACATTTTGTTATTAGTTAAGGCACTTGAATGCATTTTTTAGATCTAACTCGAGATTTTAGTGTCGCTCAGTGTTAATCATTTGGAAAACTTATTTTTAACCAGTACAAGACTATAGGCTAGTCTTGTAAAACCCTAATTAAAGCCATTGCATTTTCAGGTTGTAAGACTCCAAAAAATGAACAAACTATGGGTTGAAAGCTTATGCAAACCACTAGAAGGCTGATTGGAACCTATTTAAAATGCACCTAAAACCACCAATTTAATTTGCACTGTAAATGAAATGAGTGGAGCGAGTTGATATTCTCAGTTAGATACAATGGTTAGGATATTTGTAGGAATCTACTAGAGCAGTTTATGCGAGAGAGGAATTGCTCCACCTTCAACACAAGCAGATACTTAACTAACCCACCTACCACTCATCCCTCAGCGAGTTTAAATTGGCCTACTGCCACCAAGTGTATGATGGGTACAATGCAGAAAAACCCACTACAAAATAGCAGACCAGAGAGATAAAAAAAAAAGGGTGGGAACTAGGAAAGCTGCCCTGCCCAGTATGCGAAGAAAAGCCAGCCGTGCCTGGCAGGATCACATCATCGAGCCCCTTGGGTCCCCCAAAAAGGTCTTCTGCAGTGACAACACACAAAAGGTATACTCAAAGCACCAACTTGCCGAGAAGGTCTACAATGACAAGGCAAGTGTGGGAGATGGTGGCTCAGATGTTATCCCCACAATCTTTAGGGGGGAGTGCAATAAGATGCCAAACAACGGGTAGCCTGGGGAAAAACAGTGAAGTACTTACACAGACCCGTGTATCATATATTAAAAACAGAGTGGGATTTATCAAAACTGGAGCAGACAAAATCTGGAGCAGTTGCCCATGGCAACCAATCGGCTTCTATGTTCAGTTTGTTGAGTTTAGATTCGAAAATGAGAGAAGCGGATTGGTTGCCATGCGCAGCTGCTCCAGATTGTCTGCTTCAGTTTTGATTGCCCTCTGGGTGTTTTTAGGTGTCAGAAAATATGTCATATTCCAACTTGATGGTGGAGAAGCTACCCTGACATTTGAGGATGGCCAGCTGTCCCCAAATTGGGTAGATTGAGACCAACTGGTGGTCATGTTTCCTGAAAGGAGACTCAGCTTGTGGCAATTCTGGGAGCACATAATTGGACCTAAATAGCAACATCAAGATAGCCTGTTGGTAGGAATGCTTTCTGGCCAATCAGGAAGCCAGGCGGCCGGTTATTACACGGCTTCCTGATTGGCTGGCAAACTGGCTCCGTGCTCCTTTGCCACCAGTTGACGAGGGAGCATAAAGCCGGCTTTCTGGCCAATCAGGAAGCCGTGGGACAGGTAATGACTTACTGCCCGGCTTCCCGATACTAGAAGTTCCAGTATCGGGCTAGACATCCGGAGCATTTGGCCGAGTACTCACCCAAATACTCGGTATCGGTATATCCCTAAAAGATTGAAGATTAACAAACCTATTAAGGACTTCTGTGATAATTATCTTTTAATTTGAATTAGGTAATGGGCTTTATGAGTCACTGGTGTGGAGTCATTTATATTCAACATAAGGGTCAGTGGTCACGTAAGATTTTAACATATTGTTTGTATGTCTGCCAAGTGATACAACCCATTACAAAATGGTTAATAAGAGTACAATCAGTTAAACAGCAAAGCAAACCAGTGTTTATATCTCCTTACCCGCAAACATTGTCCTTATTAGAAGAATTTGTCTCAGGATTGCTGCAAGGTTTGGTACTTCCGTCCACATTCTCTACATTCTCTGTTCCCACAGCTGGTTTATCTGTCGTTTCTGTCACATCTTCAGCAGCGTCATTAACAACTGGCACAATGGCCGCAACAGTAGGGGGCCTCCGCAGCAGCTGCAAGAAAACAGGATATGTTTTAAGTCATTTTTTTTTTAGAGAACAGTATGGAAAAGGGGACTTAGGAGGAAAGGGAATATACAATATATAGTGTATGTGTATGTGTATATATGTGTATGTGTATATATGTGTATGTGTATATATGTGTAGTTGGACAGGGGCTTAGTTTACAGATTTTCATAGATAAAAGATCAGTCAAAGAAGGTAAAAGGAGTAGTACATGGTAGATGGGTACTCTAAAGATAAAAGGATGATTTTTATTGAATTTCAAGAAGTAGTATAACTTAGACCTTTTCTCACCTTGTGTCTCAATCTTAAGGTGCCCATACACCTTATGATTATAGTACGATAATCGCATGCAAGCGCGTTTTCTTCCAATAATCGCAAGGTGTATGGGCAGTGTACAACCGCAAATATTGTACAATCGTACGACTTGACTTTCATGCAGGTTTGAAAACTTTGATCAATCGTGCGATTTTCGCAAGGTTAGTGGCGTTTCCGTACGTCAAAAGTCGTTTGATCTACACTGCTCATGTGCAAAAGAAAATACGTGCGGTCGATTACCGCAATTCGTCCAGGTGCTTTTCTTTAATTATGGCTAATTGAACCTTGCGATAAATCGGGGCAGGATGGGGCCGCCGTATAAAAATCGTGCGACCGTTCCATCTGCGGACGAAAATTGTCGTCCGATAATCGCAAGATGTATGGCCACCTTAACAGACATGTTATCATGGAAGTGAATAATTTATGGAAGCTGTGCATCGGCAAACACTCCGCTTTCACTCAGCATCTCAAATGGCACCAGACTAACACAAGCTAAACTGACAGAACTAAAACAGTAACATGAAGAACAAATGGGTATCGTTATATTGCAATGGTGCCTAAAATGTATCTAAACCAAAAAAAAACAAATATACTACATTACAGCTTAACCGTACTTAAACCTGGTGGCAGCATTAGTTAAGGATTTTTCTTTTGTTTCTTTATATTCACCAAGTAATCCTGCAAATAACACTTTCTGTCCCTTCATGTCTACTCTTTTCTCCAGTGAATCTACAGGGGCAGCCATGGATGCCATACAGTCTGGATTTAGAAAATGACTGCCTTTGTTCATCTCCATTACATGGATTGGACTAGCAGTTTACACAATAAACAGACAGTTTTGTTTTCTTTTTGCCTCACAGGAAGTGACGACACTGCATTTCAGGTAAAATGAATCGGCATTTTCTGTACTTGCTGAAAATATTCTTAGCCTGAAACATAACAGTCACCATATCCAAGGACTGGTATCCCGCATTATATTATATTATGGATATCCTGATTTTGTATTTCAAAAATTAAAAGGGGGCCTATATATTTTGCACAAAAACTACCAATGTTACTCAAACTCCTCACTTTCTTATTCTACATACTCAGTTTCTTCCTCTCCAAGCTCCTCACTTTCTAAATTAGCCCCTTTTTTTACCTCCTCCTCAAAATTGTGTGATTGTTTAATGATGCCATTTGGATCAGTATTTACTCAAATATCATGCAGTGCGCACACTAGCTCAACAGCATGCTTAATCCTGCATCTTATAGTGGCACGCTGCAGTATTTATAGAGGCAGCAACAGTCTCTACAGCAGCCTCCTCCTGCATCCCATCTCCAATAGGGTGGAAGGCATTGTGAAAAGGATGGCTTTGGTGCAAAGTCAGCACCTTGAAGTCTAGTACCTTACATGACCCATAGTCCATTCCAGTCAGTAACATAGGGTGGTGGCAAAGACACTCCCAATGATTATTAGATCAGTGTTTGCCACCCCTGCCACTACATGCTATAATGGTACAGAAATAATTATGTGAGGACCAAAGGCTTATTACTAAAAGGAATCCAAAATCATTTTTATAGACAATGCGCTAGAGTCATAATATTATACGATTAACACACACAAACACACCTTGGGTTGTCTCTTGTTCCATGGCATAGGAGCTTTCTTTATCAATACTGCTACAAAGAAACCTCCAGTATTCTGGTGATGTGGCAGTATTCTCAGGCTGTTACAGGAAGAGAAAAAAAAAAAAAAAGAAAGTAATTGCAGAGTGAATAGACCAGATTATGACACACTGCTGTCTTTACACAAACATAAAACCAGTTTTAGACTATATGAACCAAAATGACTCCCAATATATAGAATTATATATTGTCTTGCTTTTACAAAGGGAAATTTTAATGGTTTTACATCAACTCTTAGTTGTGTGGGGGTTGTTTTTTTTTTACTGATATTTTATCTTTGTTCTCATACATGCAATCTTTGTATTAAAAGCAAACATTTAAAGTTTAAATCTAGCCAGATGGAAGAAAAATGATAAATGCAGCAATAGTATTAAGTATGTGTTTAATGAACTGACCTTATTCAACATATTACTTTTGTTTTGCACATCGACATGCAGGTAAACAGTCCAAAAGTGACAGGGGTTGGGACAAACTAAAACCACTGACAGAAGTACTAATAGCAGTTACCTTTATTCACATTAAAAACAAATTGCAGCTAAACTACTCAAGCACCCCTGGCAGTGTCGTAATTCACCTCAACCTGTCAGGGTCCTTTTTACTACACATCTTGGTTTTCATGTAAATGTGGAGAGAACCCCTACACAAATACCAGTTTAACATAAAAGGAACCAAGATCGAATAATATCATTACATGTATTAAAACACACAGAGCTATCAAAATACAATATTTTGTTATAACTCTTTAAACTGCCATTTGAAAAATTAACACACAGCACTACCTGGATTGATAGCGTCGGTCTACCATAAACTATACTCCTCTAATACTGCCAACACTTGTCAGTCACTCACTATGACGTGTAAACATTTAGAGAAAAAAAAAAAACAACAACTGTATCCAAAAGGACAATGGCCCTTCTCCAAATTCGTCGCTGTTAATATCCCCTACTTGCAAACTATCAAGACTACTTTGCATACCAACGGTGTAGATTCATTACTTTCATTTTATCTTCCTCCCGGGGAAACATAGTTGGACGAATTTGAGTATGTCTACTTGTAGGTACATCTTCCCACTTCTCAAACCACTTCCCTTCTTTTGTCATTACCTAGGAAAGAAAGATCATTAAGGTGTTTAAAAACATTTCCTAAATATACTAGAAAACCCTGCACTGAACATAAAGTACCCTCCAGTGGGTGATTCCAGGCATCCACTTCAATCCAGGAACCTCAGACGAGACATCAGCAAGCTCAAGGGATCCTAACAGAATATGCAGACAAATCCAGAAATCAGTAAAGAAGTCTTTTTTTTATAGCTACTCAGATCAAGACCACACACACACACTAATTGAACAGATAAAAGGGAATTGATCAATCAGCAATTTACTACAGACCCAATTCATTACTACCATTGTATGCCGCCGTGTGTTTATGACCAGCAATAACATGAAAATCATGATCTGAGTAACCCACGATTCACATAATTGAATATATGAATTGTAAAATTGCACAATCCGCCAAGTCATTAGACCAGACTCCTGTCAAAGCAACTACCTACATCTCCCAGATGCATCAGTTACTTTTGCAGTAATTTAATGCAGAAAGCATGTAAGGCAGGCACCCATTCAGCCTATACAACAACATTGCAAAGGCTTGATGGGTAGCCAGTGAATGATTATGCTAGCATAGCAAGGTTAGGATTGCTTGCGGTTATGAGTGTGAAGAAAGTGAGTACATGCCACACTCCGTATACAGGATTTGCATATACACCATGCCACTTAGCCTAGAAAAGCCTTTTAAGTAAATCGCAAGGGCACTTTTAAGGTTATAAAAACAAGCCCTAAAGCCAAGGTGTACAAAAACTGCTCCCCTAGTAATGTTTTTCAGATTCACATATGTAAAATATTCAGCAATTAGCAAGGTCAATAGCTGCAACAACTGCTCGGAGCTCAGGTGCCTTGACCATGCAACTCCCTATTCTGAACTGGACTTTGATTAAGGCAGGACTGTTATGACAGCTTTGTCCCTGCAGCAATAGCTACCAGGGCTATTGGGCACAGGGTAAGAAGTATGGGCTGGGTGTGGAGATTAAGGCATGTTGATGTCCTGGAGGAAATTGTCTCAAGAGGCATATTTGTGTACAAGTAGAAAGGAAAAAAATCCCCTGTACATACGGTAGTTTCTGAAATAAAGATGGACATTATTTATTAAAGGATACAAGCGTATTATCCAACGCTTCACCCCTATCAATTAAAAACAGGTTTTCTCGAAAGGTAAAAAAAGGAAGTGTGTTGTCTGTAGTGATGCAATAACAAAGCTGTTCGATTACTAAAATATATGTAAAGCATTTTGCTCGCTTAAGAAATAATTGAATAGGTTCCTCTGGAACATTTTGTTTTTCTGTGTCTAGTGATTTAAATGCGCCTTGCACTGTTTGTGATGAGAAAGAATGCATGGCCTTGCCTTCACTTTTCTCCAGCAGGGAGGCTATAACAGCTTCATCTTCAATAGGATTCAGTGAGCATGTTGAATACACCATCCTTCCCCCCACTGCCAGCTGCTCAACACCACGGGTAGCGATTCTAATCTGTAACCTAGAAAATGCAAAACGAAGGTTAACAACAACTTGCGTGCAGTTTCAAAAGATTCTTCTCCCGAGAACACGGCATGTTTCCTCTCTTTTATCTACACAGACATCAGTTAAAAGAATAAATTAACACTTTTCAACAGCAAGACAATATAGAGGAAGATGGGCATAAATGGGAATAGCATTATTCATTTGGTATCAAATGGCAGAGTCTTTAACTCTGCACGATGAATGACTGGCTGAAGGTGTATATAAAAAACAGGCATTTTTACAAACACAAATGATTGATGAAAATCCCCTGGCACTTAGTTTTGCCAATATACTCATTTAAAACCTACTTCTTCAATTAACAGACCTCAGATGCATACATTCTTTGTCTGCTTCTTAACATACGAGAACACACCAGAATTGGAAAATTTATAAGGCTAAATTTAAGCTGGCCATACACAAAGTAGAATTTCATTCAACATTTTTTTTGTGGTTTTTAAAATGTTCACTACAATGTAATATTTAATGGGGTCAAATTATCTAAGGTTTTTGACCATAGTGATGAAAAAAACAAAGCGGCAAGGTGAACATTTTTTCTCTAAGCAAATTCCATCAGTGAATGGTTTTCATTCTGGAAACTATATTTATTCTAAATTTTAATGTTAAAAAAATATTTCGAACAACATTCATCAAGTCTCTGATGGCGTTATTGAATGTCCTGATGAGCTTGTGTGGACATTTGAATGAAAACTTACCAGTGTAAGCAAGCATTAGACCAAAGTTTTTCTGGAACCAGAGCCCTGCAGTGGGTTTATTTAAATACCAGAGTGGTGATTTGTACTCCAGCCCCCACCACCAATTATCCAAGGGTCTGATGTGCACATAAAATAAAATCAGAAGACTAAGTTTTTGCTTCCTGAGCTCTACATGTGCACATGACCTGGATGCAGAATACATACCAAATACAGAAAAAAAATAAGGCAAGCAGCTCAACAATTTCTAGACACCAACTTTCCTTTTTCGTTTAAGAATGCTGGCTTCACTTTCAGAAAAACATGGCAGAATGGTAAAACGAAATACATTTTATGGAGCTACTCAAAAGGCAACATTCCTAATATGTTTGTCCATTGTAAAAAGTCAAAGCTTAATTTGTTCCTATGCTGTTAAAAGAGAACTATGAGGTGAGTGATTGTCACTCAACCTCAAAGTTCAAGCCGACTTGTGACAATGAAACTCGCACGTCGGCTCAATAGATCGGGAAGTGAGCGAACACATACCGTCGCTTGCTCACTTCTCGATCATGTCCCTGCAGAGAGCCGTGACTGTCACTCACGGCTCCCTGCAGGGATTCCCCCCTCCCCGCTCTGATCCTCCAGCGCCGACTGGCGAAACGGACGGGGGAGGGGGCGAGCACAGCTGGCCTCTAGATAGACAGAGCAAGCTGTCAATCATGCAGCTGGGTGGATCAAAAGTAATGTCGGGATCCATCCCGGCTGCGGCGCTCTCAGTATACCGCGAGCTGTAACTCGCGATATACTGAGCTTTGGGTCACGGGAGGACGATAGTTCTCCTAAGGGTCACGGGAGGATATTAACTAAGGTGAAAAACCCTTTACCCATAGTTATCCTTTAAGCTTTTCATTAGAAAAAAAAAAAAACACGATCTACTCTGCATAAAGTTTAACGACCATAATTAAATGATTGTACAAGATGCACAGCACTGATCACCGTAAACTCTAAAAAGACAGCAGTGGCAGTACAATTAATGTATGTATGCATCTATGAATTTTTTGAATGCCTACACAACCAGGGAAGGATAGTTCTATAAAAATTCTATGTGCAATGCTGCTTGGCTGAACAGGAGTGTGTACTAAATACCATGAGCAGGGGAAACACACATGCATAGAAAATGGGTGTAAATTCCCCAAGAAAAACGCACAAGCTTTAATCTATTCAGTCCTGAGATATCCCCACCGTATTCCCACCCTCGCTTCTCCATTCCCTTCCGTACCGTGTTTCTCCCTTCCCTTCTCCCTTAATTAGCAAAGAAATAAGGTACCAAACATTGAACCTTGAGGGGGCTATCCCTTTAACTAGGAAAAAAAAAAAACCTATAACTGGAAAAATGGTAATATAAGCTACTTGATAATAAAGACACAAACCATCAAGCAGCTAAAACCTAAGCCAATGATGCAGACCTAAACATTAATATGGCCCATCAGTAAAAGTGTGCTATATCTATATCTATCTATCTATATACACACACACACACATCAGTAAAATTATCATTAAAAAGTAGTCCTTGAGTGGATTGTGCCTAGGCTGAAAGAAGGAATTTTGGGTGAATGACGACATCAGTTTGCTGCCAACAAGAGGAAACTATATTTCCTATCTCCTTGCCCCTTGGTAGCATTGCCAAGTCGGTAACTCCACTATTTTTAGAATAGAATTTGTGGCAAAAAAAAATAAAATCCACTATGCGACAGATTTTGGTTCTTCAACTCGGCCACTAATTCTCCCTTGCAGCAGTTTTATTTAAACAGTTGACATCCGCGGTGTTAAACCCCCTTCCCATCCAGGCCATTTTTCAGTATTCAGCATAACACCACTGCTTGGGAAGTTTATTAAGGCTAGGCATGGAACTATATTTACCGGTTTAGACTGTGGCAGCAAAGTCTACCAGCTGCATGGGTAGTGCTAGGGGTATTGACTGGGAACTTGTATACACCCTTGACACTACCCTATTTAGTTTTAGAGAAAAGGGTGGCACAGCTCCACTGCAGTGTCCTAGAAATTGCAAGGTAGAGCTGAACCAAGACCAGCAGCAGTCTGGCCCACAGCAGACAGAGTAGTGAATTGGTTTAAATAATGCAAGGACGAAGGGCTAGTAAGATTTATCTCTGCACACAGCAAGTCCATTGTGGTGACAATGTACAATAGTGAAAACCACAAATAAAAAACAATATCTAACCTGAGGATAGTAAAATACAAAAAAAATATATAGTTATGTGCAGAAATCCCCTTCAAATACATTTGTACTTGTAGTGTTTTGCTACAGATAGTTCACATCAGTGCATTGTGGTGTCATTTAAGATGATGCTGCACCACAGAGATAGAATTGTTACCGCCACCCATGATTTGAAATCGGCCCTTAAAATATTCTTATGGGTTAGCTACAACCATATCTGTACATAAAATATGCTACAGAATTTCTTGCCCTAAAACATTCAAAAAGAAAAAAACTGATATAGCATGTACAATTTGGTCGATGTGATCACTGTAGTCTATGTTAAACGTAAGCTTAGGTTTAAACACAAAAAAACAAAAATGGTAAAAAACATTATATAGTCGAGCCATCACATAACGTACATGCATAAATATACACACAATCAGTAACAGATCAACAATTCCTATAGCAGGAATTTTTAAAAAAATAAATAAAAAGCCTACTAATCTCAAATCTTATTCTTACCCATGCAACTGCAAACTGTTTAATGTTGTCCACTTTTTCCAAACATCTATATTCTTTCTCAAAGTGCCATCACCACTGCAACAAAACATTATTATACAGGATTTAAATAGCGCCAACAGTTGCACGGTGCTTTACAACATAAGGAAGACATTACAATATGGAAAGGAGGGCCATGCCCACTAGGGCTTACAATTTAAAAGGGAGGGGCAAGTGATACATGAGAAGGTAGCTGTTTGGGGAAGAATTGTGTGAGAACAGCATGGTTGAGTGGTCAGTTTGGGGTGGGATAGGCTTCCCTGAAGAGAGGAGTCTGAAGGAATCGCCCAAAGGCAGTCAGAGTGGGAGATAGTCGGACAGGTTGGGGGTAAAGAGTTCCAGAGAATGGGAGAGACTCTAGAGAAGTCCTGGAGGCGAGCATGGGAGGAGTTGATGGAGCTGGAAAGCAGGAGGTCTTTGGAAGAGTGGAGGGTACGGTTAGGGTGATACTTTGAGACAAGGTTTGAGATATAGCCAGTGGCAGAGTTGTGGATGGCTTTGTAAGTCGTTGATATTTAGAATTGTATCTTTTGGGCTATTGGAAGCCAGTGGAGGGATTGGCAGAGGGGGGTTGCAGACACTGAACGGTTGCTTAGGTGGATGAGTCAGCAGCATTCATGATAGACTGAAGGGGTATAGCCTGTGTAGAGGTAAGCCAATGAGGAGGGAGTTGCAATAGTCAAGACGAGATATAACAAGGGAGTGAAGGAGTAATTTTGTGGTTTCACTGGTGAGGAAGGGGTGTATTTTGGAAGGTGAAGGCAGCAGGATTTAGATAGCGATTGGAGGTGGGGATGAAAGGCCGGTCCTTCTCGATGGCACTACGCAGCCGTACACCGCCCTACGCTCACACGCCCTGCACGTCTGCAGACAGGATCCATCCTGTCAGCGTACGGGTACAGACACCCGCTTGCAGGGCGGGTGAGGGTAGGGCGGCATATGGCCACGTACTCCCATAGAGAACAGGCTGCTGGGTAAAATCACGCAGCACCTGTCCTTCCTGGGAGAGACCGTGCACGCAGCACAGATCTGTATGGACCGAGCGTTTCTCTTGTGAATGGTGGCCTAACCAGACAAGTGAGGGAAAATCTGCAATAGGGAAATGAAAAAAACACTGAAAAAGGGTTCTTGTATTCCTCTGCTCAACTTAAAAATGTTTTTGGTTTGCTTTTTCTTTTTTTTAACCTGTGGTCGTCATTAGAGATTTCCTCTCACTTTTGGGATAACCGATTCACTACACAGTAATTGAAAGAATCTCTCCAATGGAACTTCAGGCTGCAGTAAAAAGGAACAGAGTCCCAAACCTTCTGCAGTCCATTAACCCCTTCGTGACTGACGACGTACAGTGTACGTCGCCAGCATCGGGGCTGTTTAAACAGACTCCCGGCGACTTTTGCCGCCGGGACTCTGTTTAAACTTGTAGAGCCGACTGTCGGCTTTACAACAGAAGCGATCCTGGCGACTTACCTGTCGCCAGATCGCTTCTGCGTCCCGAAGAAGGGGCCGCCCATCGCCGTTTCACGGTCGCACGCAATCTGTAAACTGGGCATGTTGGGTATCGTTTTACTCGTTGTAACCTCATCTTTTTTATTTCATTTTAAAAAATGGGTAATTTGTTGTGTTTTGGGGCATTTAATTAAATTTGTCACTAAATTTTGGGGTTTAATAAGGAGTTGCGCTAATATTGCGCAACATAAAAATTTTCAACTACCACCATTTTATTCTATAGGGTCTTGGCATTCAGAAAATATATAATGTTGGGGGGTTTTACGTCATTTTCAGGCCTAAAATGTGGAATATAACATGGGTGCAAAAATTGAAAAAAGGACCTCAGTCATGAAGGGGTTAATAAAAAAACAAAAAAGGGTTTAGGCATAGATACACTTGAAAAGCAGCAAACTATATATTTTGCACAGTGTACATCAGAAGCTCTAAACTTAAGAGATGATAGAGAGATAAAGATGACATATAGATCGATTCATGCAGTGGCTCCCTTAGGCAAAAGGCAGATAATATAAAGGAAACTGCCAGAGATCTAACAAACTGAACCCAGAACATGTTCCACAATAAAGAGCAATACAACTAGGACTGGAAGCAACCGCAAATTGCGCCACGTGATTGTTATTATGCTCTAGTATTGTATATACATATAAAGTATGCAAAAGTTGCTACTGATATGGGATTTTATTAAATCATTTTCCATTGAGCAACATAGGCATTCAGATACAACCAGGTTATACTGCCACCTACAGGAGCATTGCACACTGGCAAACAGAAAAATTGTAAGCCAGCCTCCATACAATTACTCCCCAGCATGCCTTCCTTTTGTGGTAAAGCAGTATGAAGAGCATGAACATAAACACAGAAGGTTTGGACCTGTGTACCTCAGAGGACTTCAAAAAGGACTTGAAAAGTAAGTACAAAAAACCCCCCCCAAAAACAACTTTTTTCTTTATCAGGATGTCTCTGCACTGCCCAACCTGCACGGAGCTACTACACAGATGAGATCCTGCCTGCCCTGGCAGGATCTCAAAGTGTATATAGTTCACTTTATACTTTTTATAGTTCACTTTGATATACTTAGTTTTATGGTTTTTATAGTGTGATATCCTGTTACATTTATTCACTTATCTTATTGAGGAATGTAGCTTTCCTTTTGATTGTTTGCACATCAGCACTTTTTCAGTCCTTTATGGACACCTGTTTTTTGGTACTTTATATTCATATTGGTAGGTTTTTTTGAAGACTTATACACAGGGTTGTCACTCATGTTTTGATCCATATATATTCACATATTTTTATATTTATCTCAAACCTTTAGCGCTGTGACAACACTTTACACTTTCACTTTACACTTTTCATAGCAGCTTTAGGATCACTATTTGACTTTTAGTTTACTTTCCAAAAGCGCAGATTTTTTGTTGCAATCTAAAAAATAAATATACATGTCCTGGGGAAAAGACCAGCCAGTCTAAGGCTGGGTTCACACCTAGGCGTATTGAATATGCGCGTTTGTCGCGCGTATTTACCGCTGTACTTCTTTGGGAGTAGGACGTTTTGTAGCGCATTCATACGGCCTGTAATACGCCCAGGTGTGAACCATACCCATAGGAAATAAAGGGATTTCGGTGTTTGAGCGTTTTGCAGAGCGTTCGAAAGCGCTACAAAATGCCCAGGTGTGAACCGGGCCTAAAAGGAAAGGCCCTGAAGCCTTATACACCCCCCAGATCACACATTAACTCCTTCCTTGTCAAAAGAGAGTGTATGGTCAGACAGCTAACCTCACTAACAAGGACTTACCAGGGAAGTCTTGGATCGATTAGAACACACCAGCCTCAAGGGAGCAAGATGTGAACCCTGAGTTCACCAAGGAATTGAAGAATTTGATTCCAGAAAGTCAAAACAACTTAAGTGATGGGGTGCTTGGGAAGCACGACCACCAATATTTTGCCCAAAGTGCCATTTTTGGCTGCCGAAATTTCGGTGCATCCCTAATATTTTGTATACTCACCCCTAATTTTATTAACATAAATCCAGCTTATTTTAGATATTTCGAAGAATAAAATGTCTCGACTTACCTGCACGGTACATCACAAAGTATCCGGTCATAGTACAGCACTTCTTTAGCACCATTATTTTCAACCAGGAGACGGGGAATGCTTGATGCATCATGGTTCACCACCATAACACAGGGACTGTTCAGCCTCTTAGCTTGATGAACTAACAGATAGCAACGCTTGTTGTCCACATCATTAGCAATGACAAAGCCCTCTAATAGTGAAGATAAAAAAAAAGTTAGCCAGCAGCAATTATTAATTATAATGCAGATATATTTCTAGAATTCGCTTTTCAAATAAACTTTAAAAAAAACAAAAACATTTTAGGTATTATTCTTATCATAAAACTGGCAAAAAAAACAAAGAAAAAAAAAACATTCCAAGAAATATCTGTAAGAAATAAGTCTAGGCAACTGGACTTGCTGTATTTTTCTTGAAGACGCTTTACTGGTCATCCAACCAGCTTTCTCAATTCAGAATGACTTGTACAAAAACATTTTTTTTCTGGGAATAAATATGGTGAATGTCACTCCAATCCACATGAATACAACAGAAAAATACAGCAAGTCCAGTTGCCTTGACTTATTTAACAGATATACCATGACCTGGATGAATGAGAACCTTCACAGGCATTCCAAGAAATATGGCAAGATCACATGGTCTCTGCTACTTTATGAGAGCATTGCTTCCTCCCATCATCCTCTGAAGCCAGCTTAATAACACACTACTGAAACTTACAACCAAGTTTGCACCTTGGCTAACAGATAGAGTAAGCAACCAAAATCCCATCTACAGCTCACCGCAGAGCATTGCTTCCTCCCATCATTCTCTCTGAAGCCAGCTTAATAACACACTACTGAAACTTACAACCAAGGTGATTGGAACATTTTCAAAATGCTCACCTAGTTCATCTTCCAAAGAGAATCCGCAAATCACCACCATTTTTTGTATGAAAATAGAAGCATAGAAACTTTAATGCAGAGAAAATCATCAACATTATGTATATTCTTTTCACATTTATAATAAACATTCAAAAGTTTGAAATCACACACAATTAATGTTTTCAAAATCAACCAATGCTTTTTTTTACACACCAAGGTAGTATTAAATTGAGCAAAAATATATTATCTATCCATTTATAATCCCATTTTTATAGTTAACACACTGACAAAGTTGTAGATGTTGTTACAGTTAGGATCTGGTAATTGTGTCGGCTAGTCCATTTAGGACAGTGCATGTTTCACCTTGTACCTTCACTGAATAGGGTTTTCATAATTTAGTATTCTTTGCATTATTGTTCTAATGCATTTGTAGACATTAAGTGCTTAAAGCAAAAGATGATATGACAGCTGTGTCGAGTAGTAAACTTTATGCTTTATTTATTGCCCTTTATATAACACTCACTCCTTCCCAGAAACAGAGCAGGCTCATGCATTTCCCCTTCATGCTTTACAGTACACATCCGGCACTCCTCTAGCATATCTTTTGGCATATTACAGCTCATTTTGGCCCTATAGACTGTTGAAAATGTGCGTTTTTACTCACGTTTGCTCATTAACGAGCTACAATCTGCTCACAAAAAGGCACGATTTGATTTATGCACATAAAAACGTGCATCACAAAAGCAGTTGTCTGGGTGTGAACCCATCCTTATAGAGCACAGTGTGTGGTTTATAAATGTGCTTTCAGGGTCCCTTGCTTTGGGGCTATAAAGCAAGTAAAGCCCCATTCATTTTAATAAAGATGGGGAAGGGGGTTGGAGTTCTAGGAGCAGGGGAAAACCTGTCACAGTACTATGCAGACAACACTATCTAGGACACCACAGGCTTTGTATTCTGCTTTGCATTTTATGAATAAAATGCAGGCAGTGCAGAGCAGTATTCACTCATTATTAATAGGGGCCTAAAGCTGGCCATACACTGATCAAATTTTGTCTGCTTCCTGTTGAACTGGCTGAAAATCAATCTGACAGAAGCCAATTAGCTGAAGTTATTGTTCATGTATTTTGAAAGGGTATTCCGTTTAGCGCTGATGGGGAAATTGATCATATAGTGTATGGGCAGCTTTAGTTTCACTTATGGTCTCCTCCTTTATTCAAACTTAGACTCGTTTATCCATAACACTCCTTTCTAGTCACCCACCATCTATTGTCTGTGTCCTCACATTAATTGTAATATTTTTTTCCAGTTTCAGATTTAAAAGTTTCTTTGAAAAGGACATCTCCCAGTCTGACATTCTGAAGAAGTGTTTTCAAAACTGTAGGCGATACTGGTATGCAACTGGTACTATTTAGCAAAGCAGCCAACTGAAGACCTGTAAGATGTTGGTTTTTCAAATTGCAGATTATGTGTGTGTGTGTATGTATATATACACATATCGCTCTCTCCACACACACGTTTAGTATGAACCCAATTAGGAATATTCACAGCAAATATTTCTAAAACAAAATGGTTACACACAAGGAATCTTCCATGTGATTGACTCCCCCATGTAAGAACACAGAACCCACAGCCCCTTTGGCAACTCTCAGGGCAAGTGGAATACCTGGAAATGGAACATCCATGTCCGCATGTAACATTTCTATAAGTTGCTTTGTTTTAGATCCTGGAGCAGCACACATATCCAAGATCTATGATGAAAATCAAGAATTAGAAATTAAAATTAAAAAAAAGATAACGAGGATTCCATAAAGAACCATAAGTTCAACACACACACGCTTTGAAGTGTAACACATACTTTGTGATGTGGCTGGACATTCAGAAGAACAGGAGGAATCATACTGACTGCCTCTTGCCGACTTATGTTACCCTGAAAATACAAAAAAGGATTACATAAACACTTTATCAGTTACACACACAGATTATCTTATGTATAGCCCCATTATGGCATTGTAAACTGCTGTGAGCTTGGTTGGAGCACTGGGATTCTCAGGTCTTAATACAACTTAAAAGGTATTTTAAAATGTGACTAGTGAAAATAACTGAATTAGCCTAAAGTCAGTCAGCCACTCTTAATCTGACCACCAGCGATAAACCTGGGACAGGGCAACCAAGTGCCCTGAATGCACAATATAAAATGCTCACTAGAGGAGAGAGCAAAGATTATCAGTATGTTGCAGTTCTTTCACAGACTGGGGAAGGAGGGTGACATGACTGTTTTGCTAGTTTCCTTTGCTACAACAGAGAACGGTCAGGTCACCAAACGTACTAGTCTTCCCAGCTGGCTGTCAAATACCTGAACAATTCGATTGGATTGTTCAGGTATTTTGAGAGCCAGCGGGGCCAACAAGCAAGATACTGAAGCTTGGCCCAGGGGGAGATTCCTCCATCCACACAGTTTAGCTTAGATGGAGGAATCTGTTGCACTTTTTCCATCTGACCATAGAAAATCTGCAGATAATCTATACTTGTATGGCTAGCTTTAGATGTTGGCAAAGATATCAAATGGGGCACTAGTTCTGGTGATATCTGTTCTAGATGCAATTTCCTTTTTCTTCCTGTAATGTGCCCCGAGAGTATAACTCTTCGTTGCTTCCCTTTACAAGAGCATTTCCTTGTCTACCTCAAATGATCAGAGAAAGAATGCTTGTAGACTAGGGAACGCAGAGCTTTGCATGCTTACACACAACAGCTCAAACTGCATTCACAACCCAGTGAAATCTGTTGATACAAAAACACTTTGGTTTTTAGCATATAATATTTGAAGGAAAATTTTTGAAAGCTAAAAAAAAAAACGTAATTCTTTCTGAACACTAGGACTTCTGGGCTGTGTACTCCTTGCTCCCTTATCTTTGCAACTTTTGTAGTAGGACAATCTTAAACCAGCACAAACATTGTAGTTTTACTAATTTTTTAAAGCTTTAATTTTTCAGAATGCATGAAAAAAAAAAAAAACCCCACTCGCCACACACCTTGAAATGTTCAATCCAAATTTCTTCAGACGAAATATCAAACCATCACACATTTACCTTAAGGATGTATTTATAAAACATTTGTAGAACCATTTGCCCTGCAAAACTGCATGTACGCTTGTTCTGTGCGAATGGAGGCTCCTCAGCTCCATATTGTGGTATTTTCTTAATATTACAGTCAACTTGGTATGAAATTATACTAATAACATTGTTTTTTACCTCCATTTGCACAGAAAGAACATACACAGAATTTCACAAGACAAATGGGTATAATACACCACTTAAAGTTACTCACCGACTCAGTCTCACTGATTAGAAATTGGTGAAATTTCTCCAGGTCTGGTGACTTGCGGATTATCTTCCTGCTCAGGTTTGTGTGCCAGGCAAGCTCATCAGGGTACCTAAAAATAAAGGGGGGAAAAGCCCATAAGGTTAAATGTAATAGGCCTCAAGAAGTAGGCCTCAAGAAGTAAACTATCAGGGTTGGATTAATTATCTCCTTGGCCTTATAATTTGCCAATAATAGCTTTATAATCCAGACGACAAGTCATTGGTTTTTTTTTTCTTCATTATCGTTTTGGAAAAGGAATCACACGTGATAGCAAAAGCTGTTACTCTGAAAAGATGCCTGCCAGAAGGGAAGACTGTTTTAAATCTTACAAGTCATAATTATGTGATGTGTAAGCTTTGGCTGGACTTAATCTCCCAACCCTCCTGTCATGCACTCAGGAGGATTGTGGGTATAGAGGATGCAGACCAGCAAGCAGCATCATCTTTTGGAGATGTGCCTCCAATGAGCATCACACACAGCCTAGAAAGCATGCTGCCCTGATTTCATAAAACCAGAGACACTGGAAGTGACAACTATGATGATTTTTCACAGGCGTCCTCAAATTTGTCCGCACTGAAGCGAGGCCTTGTATATCAAGTGGGGGACAGCCCAAATGTAAAAAAATATTGCAGGCATAAAAAATGTTTTATTCATTTCAGCTTCTATATTCAATAATTTGATTTTGACCCATCTTGAGTTCCACTCTAATGCACCAGAAGATTTAGATCTACAATCTACAGTTACATTAAAAATAACCCTCATTGTATTAAAAAAAAAAAAAAAAGACATACCACTGTTGTGATACAGGAAGCAAAAAAACAGTAATGAACAGTGGTGTTACCCTCCAAGGTATTTAGTTAAGAAGAGGGGCTGAGCAAACATTCTGGCTGGTAAAATACAATACAAATATGTTTCTGTGCTTTGTATTTACCTATCCGACTGTAGAACGACCAAGATAAAGAACAGGTGCAAATGCACATTTTCTGACTGTGTGCAAATGTACTGCATCTTTAAATTACCACCAGCTGAGAGAAATTTCCCCCAACCAAGGGAGAACAATTGGATAGGGAGCCTGATGTTCAGGTGCATTGTGTGCAATGGCACACCTGAGGATATACACATTTAAAACCTAAATGCCTGGAATTCAGGTATATGAAAACACTACATGTAATTAAGTAGAAACAGTCGATTAGTACTCGTGTAATCATTTTGCTATATTCCTTTTGGTTATAGAACCTGTGACTGTTAAAAGATGCTTACCATAGTGCCAACAAGCATCGTTGCTTACTAATAAGCACAGAATATTGTATTTTACATACATATTATAAATCAGCTTATCGTCAACTACAAGTATAAAGATGAACGTTACCCATATCCTCAAAACAACAAAAGGCACCTTTGGAAATGTTCACTATTGCCAATCTACAGATACTTCTAGATAGTTTCAGGCATTTTATTATTTGCATACCTCATTTTCATTTTCTTCTCCAGTCTTCCGACAGTGGCCATTTAACTAAGAGCAGGTTACTAGATCTCCCTTTACTTCCTGGAACTCCTGACTAGGACAGGTGACTATGTACATCATCTCAGGGGAGAAAAAAAAACCTTTCCCTGAGATTGCATGAGATTACAGATGAGAATTCCCAGCGATGCTCTGCTGATGTAATCTTCTCAGGATGCAATGCTTGGGTACGATTACCTCATTTGTGCCAAAGTGGAAAAAAATTCTAAGTAAAGTAAAAATATGCTTGTTTAGCTAATGAATGTGAGATTATTTTAGATCAGCATGCAGATCTGTATGCCGATGTGATTTTGAGTTAAAGGGGGTAAAGATCCACGAATGAGCTGTGTTAGGGTGTGCTGCATTAAAAAATAGGATTTTGGTACTCACCGTAAAATCCTTTTCTCTCCGTTCATTGAAGGACACAGGGAACAGATCGGAGATCATGTACTGTAGGGTAATATCGCCACCTGCAGGAGAAGGACGCTAGGCACAAAAAACTAAAGACCAATTACAGCCTAGGGGCGGCCCCTGCCGGTGGCCAAACCCCCCACCTGCTGACAAGTCTCCAGAGCTTGCCCTGTGAACAGGCCCCCAATGCAAGCGGGTAAAGGCAAGGGGAGAATTTCCATAAAAAACTCGCCTACCTTAGCGCCCGTGCCATGCTCTCCCAGATCTGGAGCAGCAGCACCCTGTCCGGCATCTGTGGGCATTACTGCAACTCACTGCATGACGACGCTATCGGCCCTCTCCTGACGTCCCCGGAGGACGAAACCGGCTGAGGACGAAACCGGAACCGGCGAGGCTGAGGACGAAACCGGAAGTGGCGCACCGGAAGCGCGTCATCGACGACGCGGTGCGCACGAAGTGTGGCGCCGGCGCACCCCAGTGACGTCACCCGCCACATCCACGGCCTTCATCCCCCAAGCAGGGAATACCAGCATGAGCCCAAGAAACGGTGCAGCGCTCCGTGCGAGGACCAACACCCCCACGCTGCCGCCGACTGCCACCGCTCCCCCTACCGAGCGGTAAGTGCCCGATATGCTGCTGAGGCATCTGGGACTCTGGGCTCCTCAGCCTCCCTGTACCTCCATGCTGCCCCTGTTGTTGCCCGACTGATGTCCACAACAGGGGCTCCGCACACTCCAGGTCATCACACCTTGCCACTGCTGTACACCCGGGGGGGGGCACCATCTGGCGCCTACTCACGTGCAGGAGGATGGTTGCCTTCCCTGAGTGACGGAAGGGAACCTTGGCCAAGAATCGGGTGGGGGCCGATAGGGAATCCCTGTATGCACTGCAGCAGGTAACCCTGGAGTAGGTCCCAATGCATAGCAGGGTAAGGCTCAGCCCTAAGGCAAACAAACATGAGCCCTTAAAATAACAAACACTACGATGTCCCTGTGTAGCCGACGGAAACACAAAAAAACTGACTTGGGATGGAAGGAGGAGTCTATTTATTTAATGTGGTTGATGTGTTTCCTGTTGCAGGCAGGCGGAGCCTATATCTCGATGGCTGTCCTGGAAGATGACTGGGGAAATGACTGTTGTCTTCAAAATTTGGCCAAAACAGTTCCCTGCAAAAGAGATAATTTACTTTCCTCTCTGGTGGCCCGTGCTTCCTACCTTCTCTCTACCCCTTAACATACGGAAAATTGTACAAAGCACACTGCAACGTACAGTAGGTGCTTGTGGCGCATTCCAGTGCAGGTGCTTTGTACTCTATTGTAAGAAACCATCCAGTTCATACCTCATTGCACTGTGACAACTGTGTTTGTAAGTAGCCAATTTAAGTGAAAGGCCTGCAATACACTTAAAACAGAAAAAAAAAAATGTATTAGGTTGTAAATGGCTTCTTTTTCATGACAGTGAATAGTTTACCAGTTCAGCGGTTGGGGAGCCTCTATCTTCTGACCATCTACTTCAATGTCTTGCAGCTCCTTGAAGTACTTTTCCTTCAAACAGTGCAAAATTTCTTTGGCATGGCTAGAAAAAATAAAATAAAAAATACAGCATATCAAAGTTAAAATCATTAAAGTTTAGCTCTCAACTATATAATTCCCAGGAAACCCATGGCTATGATTTAATAAAAGTTAAAGGAGAACTATGAGGTGAGTGCTTTTCACTCACCTCATAGTTGTAGCCGACTTGTGACAATGAGACTGTCACAGTTCGGCTCAGTAGATCGGTAGGGGAGCGAACACATACCGCCGTTCGCTCACCTCTCGATCCTGTCACGGCTCTCTGCCGTGACAGGGGGAAGGGCTGGATTCCACCCCCACCCCTCTCCGATCCGCCATCGCTGACTGGCGGATCGGACAGGGAGGGGGCGGGTACAGCTGGCTCTGCCTCTAGATAGGCAGAGCCAGCTGTCACTCACGCAGCTGGGCGGATCCCGGCTGCGGCTCACGGTATACTGAGCTTAGGGTGACGGGAGGACACTAGTTTGTGTCCTCCCGTTACCCTAAGGAGAACTATGGGGAAAAGCCTTAACCCCATAGTTCTCCTTTAAGGTGAAGCTATTCATATACAGGCCAATTAACAGCCAGATCAGGTCAACCCACGTATAAGAAAAAAAAAAATACTCTTCTACACAATCATTAGATTATAAAATCTCAAATGGATGAAGTGGAAATGTGGCTGGTCAATTGCAACATGCGAGTCTATGCAGTATTGAGGTCACAGCTTGTATGTGCAAGACCCACGGTTAGGGCATCACTTCTAGGGCTCCTAATTTAGTTACTTCAGGACACGTTTTAAAAATCAAGCCACCTGTTTCAATGCACATGGCCTGTGTAGCTCCTTCATGAACAGAAGACAATGAAGTCTGGATCCCTGGACAAAGATTAAAGGCATGCTACAAGAGCTTCTCAAAGATTGCTAACTTGCTGTAGGAGTTGCTAGAGACTGGTGATATGCTTTAGGGCTTGTTCACACCGAAGAGCGGTAGCTGCTGGAACGCACCGAAATGCCTCACAAAACTTCCCCCTGCGTTGTGGGGCGTGGCAGGTCATTGAATTCAATGGCACCGCTTCCACGCCCCCCGCAGTGTGATCGGACACGAGGCAAAACTTTGACTGTGTTCGTTCCACAGCAAATGCAAAAAATAGGGCTTGCTCTATTTTTTTGCGTTTGCAGTGGAACGGAACGCAGACAAAGTTTTGCAACGCGACCGATCACACTGCGGGTAGGGAGGGGGGGCCGGGAAACGGTGACATTGAATTCAATGCACCGCCACGCCTCCTCCCATCCGAGAAAGCAGGGGGAAGTTCCGTGAGGGATCGCAGTGTGTTCCAGCAGCTACCACTCTGGAACGCACCGTATTCAATATGAACAAGCCCTAAGAGACTAAACTTGAGACACATTTCAGAAGACAATCACAGATCTGAAAAAAACCATTACAGGCCACTGCGAGAGGTTGCTGCTATTACTGCCCTGTTACAAATCAGTGCTTTTAGATTTATAAACATTAATTTCTCACAGCAAAATCCATTATACAAGATCCAAGGAGGAGAAAAAAAAAAAAAAGGAACACAGGAAGAAGAAGATAGTGTGAAATAAATAATCCAAGACACTTAACTACTAGAAGCCAGACTAAAGAATATTTATATGCTTCATTAAATTGAGTAAACACCTAGCTACAGTAAAGACAGACTATTGTCTTCAGGGGCCCGGAGGGCCCGTAAAGACAGACTATTGTCTTCAGGGGCCCGGAGGGCCGCATAAGTGCGAAAAGGCAGCAGATTGGGCATAAGGGGTTTAGATGATGGGGTTTCCTTAAACCTCAGTGGCAAATATTTTTATTTATAAGATATATATGCATGAATCTTATCAATTTAATGTATATAAGCTTATGAACGTGTGCTAATGTTTAAAAACCTAATTTCTTCTCCATACTTTATGTATAAATGGGGGTTAGAACCATTTGCGAGCTTCATGCGCCGGTAGTACCTCACTAAAAACAACAAACCATCTATTCACATAACACAACTCCTCCAAAAAGTGTCTCGCTCATATACCTGTTTAGAGGGGAACTGAACCAAGTTTTTGTTTGATAAAACCTTTAAAAGGATCTTACACTGCCGTTCCCTTTCCTTCTTTTATTTCAATAATTCTGCTATGCACATAAACAGCTGCATGTACCTTTTGTATCCGGTAATTCGTATCGTGGCTGGGAGAGGTTCCCTGAGAGCAGACATAAACTGCTCCCATTCACCTTCAGGCACAATCTTCAGTTCTTGATAATAATGTTCAAAGAGTTTGTTTTCTTTTATGATTTCAGCATAGCCTCCGTCCCAGGCCTTAGAAAACACAAGGTGATAGATTAAAGCAAGCAAAAGATTCTTAAACTTTAAAGAGTTGCTTATGTTTTATTTTTTTATCATGCAGAAGAACAATCTAAAGCAACCTACATAGCAATGCAAAATCTATTTAGAGAAGACCGTTTTTTCCCTTTTAGTATGTATATAGAACGGATATATTACCCAAAGCTTGCAGAATACTAAGATCAATGTCCATCAGTCCCTATATTTACAATTACAGTTTGATAGTACAATCTTCTTTAGGCTGACCATACTGTGCTGCTGCAGTGTTAAATGAGAATTTGGCTATGCTCTCTGCTATTTAGCATAACAGCTATTTTAGCTATGCCATGTTGCCTGAACACAATATTGGTTGCACATGAATCTTTTAAGAGACTGAACAGTTCACATAAATGTATTTCAACTGTGTATGTCACTGCATGCCTGGGGTTTATTCAGAGAAAATAGATAGGCTCTCTAGTAAGAGCACCCCCCCCTCACCCGCCCCCCCTCAGCTGTACACTGCTTCCTCCTGCCTGTACCATACTGAACATATCATCTCAGCCAAGGCAGAGTCACTGTCTGGAGTTCCAGGAATTCTTTTTAAGCATATGGAAACAGTTGTATTTGTGTATTGGCATCAAACAGTGTTAAGCTGGGCAGACACTGCACTATTTTCTTCGTTCGACCCCAAGGCTGAACGGAAAAAACGAGCAGATTCTTCTTAGGAGTGTGTCGATCATCGAGTTATCCCGCTGTATGCATTGTATTCTGACAGAGTTGGCAGCGCATTGGCTCCCAGTTCTGATTGTACTAAGATTTTTCGTCCAGTTCCTTCGATCAGGTGATCGGGGGATGCTGGCCGAAAGGGTACGGACAGCAGCACACACTGAATTTTGTCCGGTTGCTTAAAAAAAAAAAAATGGCCAAAATTTGCACAAAGCATGAACACTTTAAGTAAAGCTTGGGGAAAGGCTGCTTTGGCAAAAGCCTGCACACAGAGAGAGATTCATCTTTTTGCACTCATTTTAAATAGCTGCCAGAGGACATAATGGGGGTGGAATTCATAAAAACAGAAGCAAAACAGAATAATGTGGAGCAGTTGCCCATGGCAACCAATAAGCTTCTCTTTCATTTTTAAAGCATAACTGAACAAACTTAGGATAGAAGCTCATTGGTTGCCAAAAGAAAACTGTCTGCTGCTCCTGTTTCAAAGAATACCCCCCAATATGTGGGGGGAGATTACAAACTGGATATCGACATTTTTTTTTACAGAGTAAGCAGTAATGCCAGGGATTCTTTAAAAAGGAACTTCAAAGCAAATCCATCAGTGCTCCGGAGAGATCTTCTGCTGCTCACCCAGTCCTGCTCTGCCATCTTCTTCTCTGCTGTCATCAGGAGTCTTCAAGTTCTTGCAGCCAGCAACCCTAATGATGCACTGTATAGTAGGGATGGCCCGATACCGATGCTAGCATCGGAATTGGGCCCGATACAGGGCATTTTGACAAGTACTTGTACTTGTCAAAATGACCCGATACAAAGCGCCGAAGCTTGCGCTATGTTTTTTTTTTTACCTTC